GGGGGGGGGGCATGTTAATAGAAATCGGCTTCAGGCAACAGTTACTAATGCCAATATAAGGTGCTTTAGCACAGTGCTTGGCACCAAATAAGTCCCCAGTAATTACTAGCTAGTAAAAGGGTAATTTCTTATGAGGCCATTCCCAAATGTTGAGGAACACTAGAGACCTTCACAATTGCATCTCTTCTGCACTACGAAGTATTGAATACTTAATGTGTACCACAGTTTTAAGTGCTTTATATGTATTAACTGAGAGATGAAGGCACTAATACCTAGGTGCAGGTACAATTATCCCATTCTAGAGACTGGGACACTAAAGCACATGACTTGCCCAAACCGACAAAGGTAGCAGGCAGCAGATCCTGGACACGCATCCGGGGAGCCCGAGTGGGGCTCCGGGCTCTGAACTGCCAAGTGCCTTCATCAGAGCCCCTCTCACTGCTGATCACCTCACCCTAGTGCTCCCTCAAACAGTTGCTGACTTTCCTCTCATTCCCAGGCTAGGAAAGGACCACAGTTTATACAGGTCACACGTGACAAATGTCTTCAGCTTGACTTCATCCAGCAGCTGAAAACAGCACCAATGCTCATATGTAGGTTTACACCTCAGTTTCACCAAGCTGTATTTAGTGTTCTGGCTAAATTTATTTTTAATAAAAGCAGCCTTTTATTTTTTTTCTATTACAATGTTGCTGGGAACCACAGGATATAAAATAGACAAAATGGGGGGGGGGAGCAATAGACTTGGCTGGGGCTGCGACCCCGCTGATGACTCATCCCTTCACCGCATCTCCAGTAGATCCTACGACTGGACCCAGAGATGGAAAACTACAGTGAAAACCTTGAGGGCGAAAAACCCCACTACATTTACTGAGAGGCGCTGTGCCAGGCACTGCACTTTACATTTCTAAATTAATCTGAAGACAACTATCACCTTTTACAGAACAGGACAGAGGCTCCAAGAGGTTTTGTAACATGATGGAGTTGTATCAAGACTCGGTGTACGCTCTTTTTTCACCAGTAAACGGGACTCCAAAGGTTAAATAATGGCCCCAGAAGACATCTGGCGCACATTAAGTGCTAGAAGCCTCTCCCATCTCACTCCCAAGGACAGGAACCTAAAGTGTCCTCTATGGGCATCTATACTGCTACAAGATTTTCCAGGGTAGTTGATTTCAAGAATATCCAGTGGTTATCCCCAAAAGTACACTCATGACCTGACTTGTGTTTTGAAAACATGGTCGTTTGTGCCTATTAGGCTTCAGCCTCAAACGGGGAGCGGGGCACGCGGGAGCCACGGTCATCCCCGCCCCCTGCACCAATCCCCAGAACATTCTAGGCATTTATAGGGGTCACTCTCTCGATGGAGGACGTGATTTATTGGTTCCTTCAGTTCGCCACATCCGATGGTCCCGGCCCGCGATATGGACGTGAAAGCGCCGTCAGAGCTGGGTTTGCGGGGAACGTGCTCACCCGGCGGCAGCTCCCTGGGCTGGGATTCCCCGCCAGGCCCATGGAGGAGAAAGGCTGCCTCGGACTCCAGCGCCGGAGCAGAGGTCTCAAGGTCCACGGGGGCAGGTTCCGGCTTATGCTGACCTCCCGCCGCCGGCGCCCACCCAGTTCTTCCTCCAGGCCACGTTCTCCTGCGTGGCCGCTGCCTCCTGCAGGGTGGCCAGCACTAGCTGCTTATTCCTGGCTGTCTCTTCCCTGCCCTGCGGGCCCTGCCCTGGCATCTCCTGCGGGAAGGAAGAGAGGTTCGTGGTCCGAGTCGGGTCCCCGGCCCGGAGCTCTCCGCCTGCCCGCCCATCCCACCTCGGACTCCAAATTGCTCCCACCTTCAGCATCGCCTGAATCCGCTCCTCTCCCGGGGTCACAAGGACAAAGAGCGCGGAGCCCACGCCAGCCCCCACGCCCAGAATTGCGCCCACGACTAGCGCTTTGCGCAAGGCCTCCATAGCCTACCGCGAGACCAACGAGGCGCCCTCTGCAGCCTCCCGCAGCCTAGAAAGGCAGCCACTGTCTCACCGCAGCCTGCGCAGGCTAGAGCGACCCACAGAGGACACCATAGAGAAGGGACGAGCTAGACTCTAAGAGCTGATCAGTGAAACGTTTAGAATCTAGAGCGCCGAGGTGCTAAGACTGGATTTGGCTGAGACGGTTGGGCGTGTCAGGAAAGTATTGGCACAATAAAAAAGAGAAGGTGTTGGCGCCGAGGACCAAGCGCGGGGCCCATTGTCATGAAACCTGGAGTGGGATTTGCTAAAAGGAGAGGGACTGTGTTTATGTTTGCTGCATGTTTTACAACAACTAACTGCCCAGTTATGAAACTTCCTGATCAATGGAGGGCTAGGGCTGTGCTCTGTGGTTTCCCAGAATAACTTGTGCTTTTTCAATACACATAGTGTACATCCAGATACTTAGCACATCAATCTATTCACCCCCTTCAATCCTTCAACTCCTGAACAAAAACTCAAAGCCAAGTGTACTGGGAGGGGGAAAGGGTATATTTACTTTTTTTTTTCTTTATTTTACTTGTTAGTAAGCTTGTTACATTTCTCATCATAGTATATACCCTTGGCATTTTTTCCTCTGTAACATACCGAATTATAATTTGGAGAAGAAAATACCTCTTAGTTGTGTGACTCTGAACAAGTCTTAGGTTCTTTGTGCCCTGGTTTCTGCATCAGAAAATGGGGCTAATAACAGTATCTCGGTTTTAGGATAATTTTTTTTTTAATTGGGGAATTGGGGGGATGGGAACAGCGGTGGGGAATTGGGGGAAGGGGAACAGACAAGTTGCTGTTGTTTTGTTCTTCAGTCTAGTTGTGGAGGACGTTGCTTCACTGGCCCAAGTTGGCANCCAGGTTGAGCTGTTGTTCAGCATCTTAGCTGTGGAGGGCAGTGTCACTGGCCCTCATATGTGGGATCCGAACCGGGGCCCTCTGGCGTCCCAGGCCAGTTCTTAACCATCACACCACTCGGCCGGCCCCTGTAAATAACTTGAAATCCTACCTCCTCTACTCGTAGGAGAGAGATCACATTTCACTTACCCAGTCGTATTTAAATCCATACCTCCCTCTTAGCAATTACTGTATTTTGCCATGTGTAGTGTACACTTTTTGCCCAAATTTGTGAGGGAAAAATAAGGATGTGCATTATACATGGGTAGTACTAATTGTGTACCTATATAAATGTTTTTAATTTTTTCATTTATGCTTATGAATTAAAAGTGTAACTCGAGAAATCAGTAACGATACCAATGTGAAAAATAATACCCAGGAATATGATAATCGGATTTGTTGAACTTAGGATGAACTTGCAATGATAAAGAGTTCTTGGCTTTCCATGACGCATAAATATTGTGAATATTTATACAAAAGCTTGTATCTGTTCTTGTGTTTTGTAATTATTTGTTACATAAAACTTCTTGTACCATGTTAAAAAATAAATGCTAAAATTCCTTCATAATACAAAAAAACAAGTACCTAAATGTAAACAAATACAAATTAGGAGTAAAAAATTAAAACGAAAGATTTTTTTCCCCCTGAAAGTTTGGGCCAAAAACGTGGGTGCGCATTATACACGGCAAAATACGGTGCCTCTTTACTTGTTCATGTGTTCATTTGGTTTATTACACAGCTACTTGAAAAGCTAACATTTATTCATTTATGATGTACTTATTCAGATACTTTTGTGTACTCTCGTCTTTCTTGAATTGTGAGGGAGCAGGAAGTCTCTTCAGTGCTTAGTACAGCAGTGTAAGTGGTTGTTCAGTCAGTGCTTTAAATAGTAATTATGCTGGTTCATTCTGAGAGGAAGGAGGAGCTAGCTTTACTCTCCTTTTCCTTACTCAGGCACCTCACTCAGTTTTGACACTCACCATATCACTGTATCTCACTTTCCCTCTAGGTCAGGCTGCCAGATGGGACGTCACTGACCCAGACGTTCCGGGCGCGCGAACAGCTGGCTGCTGTGAGGCTCTATGTGGAGCTCCACCGTGGGGAGGAACCTGGAGGGGACCAGGACCCTGTGCAGTTGCTCAGTGGCTTCCCCCGGCGGGCCTTCTCAGAGGCTGACATGGAGCGGCCCCTGCAGGAGCTGGGTATGACATGTGGGATCTGAAGCAGGACTGGGGCGGGTAGGGTAGGGGGCATGACTGAGAAAGGAAAGGATGCGGAGAAGGGACTCTGGGGCTGGTGTGCAGACAGAAATTTGGAGGCAGAAAGCAAGTATCTGGTTCAAGCCTGTTTTCTTCTATCCCCAGGACTTGTGCCTTCTGCTGTCCTCATTGTGGCCAAGAAATGTCCCAGCTGAGAGGCCTTTATCCCACCATCCTTCTCTGACCTCTTCATCTTTGATAAAGCACTGACTGACATCTCCTTCCTAATAAATAAACCCTCTGAGTTCTCTATGTGCCTGAGTCCTTCCTGAATGGCTGGGAGGGACAAAACTGAGGCAGAGGAAGAATCTAAAGGGAAGGTTTTTCAGGTAGGCCCTATTCTGCATCTCATGTTTCCAAGAGAGACTTGTTTCTAATCTCTGGGTCTGATGAGTTGCTGAGGAAGTTGACAGGGGAGAGATGCTGGGGTGGGGAGTACAGTGGATAGCACCTTTTGCTCCTATGGGTAAGGTGGTGCATAAGTTTGAAATCCTTATTAGGGCCGGCCGAGTGGCTCAGTTGGTTAAAAGCTTGCTCAAGAGTTTGCGCTCTGAACAACAGCGGTTCGAGTCCAGCCCGAGCTGAGCAGCCGCTGAGCTGCCAACAGGTAGCAGGATGGCTCAGCTAAAAAAAAAAAAAAAGAAAAAAGAAATCCTTATTAGCTATGTGCCTTGACTTCTTTAAGCCTAGTTTAATTTCCTCCTTTAGTAAAACAGGGATAATAGTTACCTGTTAATTGGGATTGTGAGGGTTACTTGTCACGTCCAGTGTGGCAAGGGCAAACGGGTTTTTCTTGAGGGGCGGCGTAGATTGAATAAAGAGTCAGAGACAGAAGTAAAGTTTAAGAGCGAGACCAAGGGACTCAGTCAGAGAAACTGAGCAAGCCCAAGGGACTCATTCAGAGAATCTGAGTGAGCCCCGAATCGGGTCAGCGCATCGCTTTGAGAATTTTCAAAGAAGTAAGACTGCTGTCAATCAAATTAGCATCAGTTTGAGGCCTGTGCTTCAAAGTCTTTTCCCTTTAACATATCCATTATGTTCCAGCAAATGCTATGCCTTCACAAATCCGCTGCATAGCCCCAGGACACCTGGTAGTGTCCTCCCAGGAGGAGATTAACTGTTTGCATTTCAACAGGTCCCATTCACACCGTGAGACACTCCTCAGAGGGAGCCTTATCGGCCTCGGTCATACCGGGGCACCCCCTCAGAGAGAATTCAGCTTTCCGGTCATACCGGGGCTT